GCTACTCTATTCTCATGGAGCAGAACACTATCTGTTTTGTTAAGGATGGTGAAACATTCTTTGAAGCGGATATTGACGAGGGGAACCAAGCATTTGTGAGAGAAGTGCCTTCTGATTCTGTTTCAGCTTTGGCTGCAGTTGGGACTTTGCCTCTTGATCTGGAACTGTTGCATCGTTGACTTGGGCATCACCCAGAAGATCCTGAGCAAGAATCTGGTTACTGGTGCGAAGCTTACTTCAAATCAGAAGCCAGATCCCATCTGTGAGCCCTGCCTTGCTGGCAAGCTGAACGCGGCTCCATTTCCTTCCACTGGTCATCGTGCATCTGCACCGCATCTGCACCTCTTGAATTAATACACTCTGATCTGAAGCAGTACAAAGTGTTCACCCGTGAGGGGTGGAGGCATTGTATTGTCTTTGTTGATGATCACACAAGCTTCAAAGTGTGTATGCACATGAAGCGCAAGAGTGGTGCGCTCAATGCATTCAAGGTGTTCAAAGCTTATGCTGAGAATCACTTTGGTTGCAAAATCAAAGAGTTTCAAGAGGATGAAGGTGGGGAGTACATGTCTCAAGAGTTTGAGGATTTCCTTGCCTCTTGTGGTATTGTGCGCCGTCATTCGACAAGGAATAGACCGCAGCAGAACGGGACAGCAGAGCGTGCTAATCGCACAATAGATGAGCACACTACGGCTATGCTACATGAGGCTAATCTGCCGCCTTCTTTCAAAGCGCTTGCAGTTGCGGCTTATGTTCATGTTAGCAATATGCATCCCTCAGCTCATATCCCTGGAGATACTACTCCGTTTGAGCTGTGGTACAAGCGTAGGCCTGATGTGTCACACCTTAGGGTGTGGGGTTGTCTTGCCTATGTTCATGTGCAGAGATAAACGGGACAATTCCGGCATCCACTTTCAAAAGTGCGTCTTTGTGGGATATCCCACACAACACAAGGGATGGCTCTTCTATAATCCAGAGACACGCAAAACCGTTGTCTCTGAGCGCGCAGTCTTTGATGAGCGCTATTTCCACATAACAATTCACCTCCTCCCAATGACCCTCCTCAGCAGCAATCACCACCTCCATCTCCTATTGCTGCACGTCGGCGGTACCATTGTCAAACCACTGAACACAAACCTGCTGCTGAGTGGTGGAAAGTCAACCAACCTCCTGGGCCAGTTGAGCCCGCTCCTGCTGATCCGCCTGTTGCGCCAGCAGAGCCGGCTCCTGCTCAAGAGGATGAGGAGAGTGATGATGAGTTGCTTCTCAAAGCGCTGATTGTTGCTCATGAAGGCAATCCTTTGAGCCCTTATCTCCAAGCGCTTAATGCCGCTCATGTGCATTCAGCAGAGTCTGCTCTCCATGCTGGCAAGCCGCGCTCTTACCATGAAGCGCTTAAGCGTGAGGATGCTCATTTGTGGAAGGAAGCAGCTCTTGCTGAGATTAATGCTCTGCTTGAGAACTGCACCTGGGAAGTTGTTGATGCACCCCCTGGTGTTAAGCCAGTTCGTTCCCAATGGGTCTTTGTTATAAAGCACAAGTCTGATGGCTCCATTGAGCGCAAGGCGAAACTCGTTGCAGATGGTCGCACCCAGAAATATGGTGTTGACTACAACGAGATTTTCTCCCCTACTGTAAAACCTGCCACACTCCGCATTGTCCTTGCACTGGCTGCACAGCACGACCTCAAACTTCGTTCCATTGACTTCTCATCTGCTTACCTGAATGGTCACTTGGAGGAGGACGTCTATATGACTCAGCCACCAGGTTTTCCTCAGGGACGGCATGACCAGCTTCTTAAGCTTCATCGCACCATCTATGGTCTGAGGCAAGCTGGCCGTGAATGGTATAAGGTCCTGTGTGCAAAGCTGGTTAAGATGGGCTTCACATGTCTCCAGTCTGACCGCTCTTGCTTCGTCTTCGCTAGAGGCTTGACGCGTGTCATCATTCCTATCTATGTTGATGACAGCACCATTGCTGCTAAAGATGATGCTGAAATTGACAAGGTCAATGAAGAGCTCTCTAAAGAGTTCAAGCTCAAAGATCTTGGTCCCAGAGTGGTTGTTGGGTATCAAGATTGAGCGTGACCCTCAGACTGGAGCCATTACCCTATCTCAGCGCCAGTATGCTCTGGACATGCTTGAGGACTTCAACATGTCGGACTGTCATCCTGTTTCGACGCCGATGCTTCCTGGTCTAGTTTTGACCAAGGAGATGGGTGCCAAGTCAGATGAGGAAGCCAAGAAGTACCATGGCATCTATATCTCTGCCGTTGGTCGCCTCATCTATTTGGCTACTCAAACACGCGTCCTGACTTGTCCTATGTCGTTGGAGTTCTTGGTGAACTCCACTGGAAGGCTGTCAAGCATGTGTTCCGTTACATCAAAGGGACACTTGATTATGGCATTACCTATACAAAATCACCTCAGCCCGTGCCTCCCATCACTTATGCTGATGCCAATCATGGCGGTTGTCCAGACACTGGCAAAAGCACTGGAGGTTATGTGGTAATGATGTGTGGTGGACCAGTGAGCTGGAGGAGCAAGTTGCAATCCACTGTCTCTCTGAGGCAGAATATCTTGCTGCCTTGGAAGCTGGGAAGGAGATCAAGTGGGTGCGCAATTTGCTCCATGAATTGGGCTATGGAGTGTCTGGCCCTTCCCTTCTCCTCATGGACAACCAGTCTGCAATCCAGGTTGCTAAGAATCCTGAGCACCATGGACGTATGAAGCACTTGGACTTGGCCTTTTACTGGCTCAGAGATCAAGTTGCCAAACGGTTCATCTTTGTGGACTATGTTCCCACTGGAGATCAACTTGCAGATATCCTAACCAAGGCCCTTGCACGTCCTCTTGTGGAAAAGTTGCGTGGTCTGATAGGATTACGGGGGAGATGAGCGAGACTTGTCTCGTCACGGGGGAGTGTTGGAATGTGGGTTTTGCCTCTGACATCTCTCACTCTGATGAGTGTCACCACTTTGATCCTTTATGATCCTATCATCAATATGTGATCTTACTGATCCTATGCATCCCTTTGATCCTTTATGATCCTATCATTGATACCTGATCCTACTGATCCTATGTCCTTTGTTCTCTTTATGGTAATCCCCTTGTTCCCAATTAGGTCTTCCCTTTCATCTACCATATGCAGCATTCCCTTTGTTCATCTACCTATATATACAGCCTAGCTAGTGCCTTGAGTCCTCAGTTCTCACTGTTGACTTCAGGCAAGTATTTACTTCACATTGCAATCTACTGGAGTTCTCACTGTTGACTTCAGACCTCTGTGCTTGCCTGTTCAACACTTAGTAGCTTCTCAATTAACTTTCTATTCTCCCTCGCTAGACCCTCGAGATATCTCGGGTCATCGTGTTCATATCAACCTCGAACCCGATTATTGTCAAGACCGCGCCCCAACTCTGCTTCTCCTCGCTGTGCGGCACTCCAAGCTCATCCCAGAGCTGCAGGAGTTCGACTTGTTTTTTAGGCATCAACCAGCCGAAGTTGTCGTCCACGTAGGTGAAGATGTCCGCAAGCAGCTTAACGAAGATTGCAATCCATAGAACCAGTCCCATGACCGAGCTCCATAGGACCAAGCTCCATAGTCGCGGTGATCCTCTGCTACCGAAACAAAACTGCCAGTCAACACGACGAATAAGTGGGCCGCGATCACTTCCGGCGTCAAGGTCAGCTTGTGTTGGGTAATTTGTTGTTACTACCTGCTTGATCTGCCACAGCGGATGGGAAGGAATCAGGCGGAACGCGCCTTTCACACTTGAATGCAACCAGACATTTGTCCGGGTTGGTGCATTGGTATGCTAGTAGGGCAGCAATGAAATGGTGCATCGTGTCCAAGCACCTTTCACTTCATTTCCGTCCATCATATTGTTCTGACAAAATTTACCTGTGCTCATATGAGAGTAGATACAGTTTATCAGAGTGAGGTTTTGGGACAGCGAGCACAAGGGTGCTGTACATGCCGGGCAGTAAATCCGGCCCAAAATCCTGTGAGTGTCGCTGAAGTTCCTCTTCCTCTCGCCTCTGATTCTCCAGGAACGTGCGCTCTCGCTCTGTTTTTGGAAGGATTCGCGAGTTATCCCACGTCAGCGGGAAACCACTCACATGCTGCGTATCAGCGAACGGTCATGCGCTGTCTTCAAGCAGACTGAGTCGACGAAGGCTGGATTTGGGTGTGTGCGGAGCAAAGAGCTGCTCAAACAAAATTTCGCGCTGAGAAAGAGAATAAACTCAAAGATGTTGAGCCTGTAATATCAGATAATATCCCACTGTGCTCTCCGTTGATCAAATGACAGTTCATATCGATGATTCAGTCTCAAATCGACAAAACGCGCTCGGAAAACAACAACCATCCCCTGCAGCTTATATTTTCTCAGCTCCGCTATGCCTCGTAAGGTTATCAACACCCTTCATCATGCTGGGATGTGCTGCTCCTACAACACGACCAAAGACTTGCACTCCACCCTCTCGAAAGGACACCTGCGTCTGGCGGAGCTCGTTGCGAGAACTGGACACTCTTTGGGCTGGGACAACAACCATCTTTTCCTCTCTCCCCATGTTGAACAGCGCACCCTCGCATCTCCGAAAGTACAAACTGGGACAACTTCTGTCATCTACCTACTGCGAGGATTGCTTGATCTGGTGACGCTAAGCCTCCAGCGTATTCGAGAGCGACGAGCGAGGCTGGAAATGATCACCTTTGCCGACATTCAACCCAACCATTCTCAATGTGTCTCCCTTAGCCATCATTACGATCTCTCCCTCATCGATATTCTGGTCAACTATGAGTCAAAGTTTGACTATCTTGGCGATTCCTCCGAACTTCAGCACCCTCGTATACCTCCTCCTCTCAATTATCGCACGAGCGAATACGTCCTGCGCACAACGACAATAGACGAAGGAACAACAGAAGGAACAATACAGATCAACGAGAAATTTTTATCTGGAACAACTCAAGTTCAGCATACATGATTGTTGGGAAAATGGCTGAAGCAGGATTCAAATCTGCGACCTTCTCATGTCATGTGAGATGCTCTAACCCAAAGGTATCCAACTGAGCTATTCTGCCAATAGTGTGAACGGGACTAAAACCCCAGACTTCAACGGGTCGCGCTACTATTTGATTGCAGGAATATTGTACGAGACAACACCTTAATCACTACATCTGCTCGAAGCTACTACGGTGTCGACAAGAACACCGAATTCAACATTAATTTTCAGAAGGTTAATTTCGATTCACTTTGCTTTGAATATAGCCGTGGAGTTTATTTTGCCGCGCGAGGCGTTCACGCTTTATGGGATTTCCTGGCTGATCTCTCCCCAAATATTCCACTTCTCCGGCGTCTGAAGACCCAATTCGGCGAGTTCCTTGGTGCACCATGGCAAGGTATCCGCCACTTGAAGGTCGATTGCTCGGACCAAATCAAGAAACTCAAAGCCAAGATGCAAGAGTACTCGGTTCACTTGCCCTCACGGTTGGAAGAAGACCGATGGAGGATAAAACAGTCGATGTTGTGGACGAAGGAGCTTCTATTTTGCGAGATACCAGGATCAAATTGTGGTCAAAAGCGTATAAACAGTGGAGTGGTGAATGAAGGTACACTTGTTAATTTACGTCTTTGCGCGTTTATACAATCCATTAGCAATCCCAGTCACTGAATGATTTGCTGCCGCTCTTCGTAGTGGTCGTCCTGTGCTGCTGACTTTGGGGAGAGGAGGAGCCTCTGGTAAATCGGGCGAGTTTGAACGAGAGGTGGAAGCGGAAGAAGTCAGTGATTTGCTAGTAGTCCGAGATGTATCATCGTCAGCCAATTCAGCGAGCCACTCTCCTCCTCAACTTCTTCTGATTCCTCTGAGTCGTCCGATGAACGTCGAGTCCGAGTCGTCTTTCTCCATGCCATGTCGTGCACACGTACAACAGTCAAGACCTCCAGTGCGTAACACGAATGCCAATCATTGTCTTCCTTAAGAAAATCTGTAATGTCACGAGGGATTTGGAAAAACTGAGCTTTTTCGCGGTCCAATCGGAAAATCACACCGTCTGAAAGAGTCCAGTCTCGTGGAAATGTTTTCAGGATTGGATCTTCTTGGTGTGTCATCTTCGTCCAGGAGTGAATAGCATCTTCTAATGTCGCTCGTGCACGAAGAGGACGATAGCCTTGACGTGGAGGTTTGTGTGGCGGAGAGTCGGATTCAGCGTCGGAGTCAGAGTCTTTGAGACTGGGAAGGTAGTGCGAGAGGTTGAAGCCAAGATGATGATCGCAGCAGTTGCTGCATGTAAACGACGTGGCTGCAAAAAATTCAGGAATTTCGGGACGCGCTCACCGCTCGAAGTTGTATCATTGTTGTGTCTTGCCAGGAAGCTGTGATGGCAATCCTTTGTCGATGCAGAGAAATCACTTCCTTTTCGGTACGCTGCTCTTTCTTGCTCGGTTTGTGGTCGGGATCAGTTTCCACCAGATTTTCGTACACCCATTTTTCTGCAATGGTCAGAACCAAACATTCCATTCCATTGCGACCACCCCTTCCACCACGCTGATCATCTTCTGCCACAGTTTTTGTAACGCCATGCTTAACTATCAGGCGGATGGAAGGTACATTGAACCCCTGCACAAATTCCGTTGTAACAACTGGCCATTTTTGCGCGTTATATCTGGCTATTTTAAGTCAAGTGCGGCCCCAAACACCCCAACTACCCGCTACGAGTATAGTCTTACTCGACTATCAATAGGAAGTCAGTACCTCTGTCGGTGACACTAAGGAGGGTCAAAGTGAGCTCCGAGCTGTTGACCGTAAAACCCATCACAGGAGAAAGGCATTATATTAATAGCCTACTGCAGTACTATGGATCTGTTCCATAACAGAACCCTCAGAAGAGTGACGAAGAGTCAAGGACTTAGGCGAAGGTCTACAAGGATGTAGAAGGCACTACGGGGGCTATCAGGCCCAACATCAGTCAATAGACAGATGCCCCGGGCTGCCGACTATAAATAGACAGCTGGAACAGCGGAAAGGGATCTCGCACAGGAGATGCCGAAGCCAGGATCAGAAGGCAGAGTCATGGCAAGACATGAGGTCTTTGACAGGAGCATGATGTTGTGATGCTGAAGCCGAACAAGTGCGGCAGCTCCATTGGAAATCTATTTCTATATTGGAGTCAGCGCGGGTGACATTGTGGCTTGATAAATTGGTCAGCGGGGTCCGTGAAATCACGAGTGAATTGGAATGTCCCAAGAATAGTCTTAGGAGTTATTAGAGAGACTGATGGCACCACCGGAAGGGTTGCCACAGGTAACAGATTGACGGGATCACCAATGATGGTGTTCTGCAGGCTTTCGCAATACAGTGTTTCAACCGTGGGAGTCAAAATGGCTGACTTTCTACCGTTGAATCGACAAGCAAATTGGATGCCGAAGGTCCTCCGGGACACCCAAATACCAATATACTATCTCTCTACTCAATTGGATCGACATTGCTTACTCTGTACTATTTATGTGATGTATTTCTTGGCATTAGTATAAAAGGACCTGTTGAGCAGGAGGACATCGCGCTTAGTCTCTTGGACAGCGTTGGTGAACTCAGGCAGCAACATAGAGGCACATATAAAGATATTGTCTACTCGTTTGTCTTAATAGAAACTGTGTTGAAGTTCAGTCAAGTGTGAATCATAAGCATTCGTTTCGAGAGCCGCATACACGGCATATGTATTGCATCTGGCTTGCCATGTCAAGTATTAGTTTGAGTTTGTCTATGAATTTTTGAATTACAGCGGTTCCCGAAATTCTTGCCCGGATCACACAGTGATCGCTTTTAATTCGTAAAATCAAAAAAAAATGTAGTTAATTGAATTAAATACATTCCCTGTCTCTACACTATTCTCAGTAGTTCCCAACCCTTCAGCTACCAACTAATACCCACCACAATCATTCTAAACATCGAAAATGGCCCAAACTCGAGCAAAAACTGGTCGCAAAGTGGCTGCACTTGAAACTCTCGCAGACACGGCCTGTTATGCCCGTGCACAATACCCTGCCACTCATTTGGATTCATCTGGATCTCCGACTTCTTCCCGGGACCTATCAGCATCAACCATCCTTGCTCTGGCCTGTATAGCCACCCAGCCTGCCAGAGCAATATGGATATCCTTGATCCTTGTCCGCTATGCTGATTTCCTTACGGAGTCCTCACCCAACCGATCCTATGATCCCTATCCACCTTCCCTCACTCGGATTCATACCGATGCTTAACTTGACTTATCCGTTGGACCCTTCCGCATCCCTCATCAATGCTCCGGCCTAATCCATCACTCATGATGCCGGGGCAATGCAGACTTACCTTGGCTCCCATCCGCTCATACCATTCCTCTCACGGAGTCCTCCCACATACGATCCTATCCTTCCCATCCATCCCCCGCATCATCTTGGGCTCACATGGATCTTGGACTTCGCCGGTGAACCTTCCTGCATTACTTGTTGATGCTCCGGCCTGCACAGCCACTCGTCCGGCCAGAGCAATGCGGACTTCCTCCTGGTCCTCCTCTGTTCATCTATGGAGTCCTCTCGCATCCTATTCTATGTTTCCAATTCATCCCCGCTTCGCCTGGATTCCCATGGAAGTCATCCGACTTGGTTATCCCGTTCATTCAGCTACTCCTCCTATTCTCTCATGCTGATGACATCTACTCAGCCGAGACATTGGACGAGGCGCACCCAAGGTTCATCCGGATTCACTTCTACCATCCTCGGATCCATTCCTGTTCATCCTCGAGTTCCCTGCATGTTCGCCCGGCTATCCGTCCGGCCCGGCTCCCCCGGCCCGGCCGATGATCCGATCAATTCCCTTATCCGGCCATACTACATCCCTGCGGACTCAGCTCCTCACCCTTGGTTCGCTCGGACGTGAGATGCCTTGCATCGAACTCTGCAGTCCTCCTCCGGACTTAACATTATGTCATCTACCTTCCCCCGGCATCATTGGTATGCATCATATGACTATGCTTCTTTCTTATTGTCTTTATTGTTCTCGTCCGGTACATATCTCTTGCCTTATTGTTCTTACTACTGTACCGCACTTCTTACTTATTGTTCTTATTGTCTTGTACATACTTCTGACTTCATTTGGATATATCTCCGCACTTACTTTAAATATGTAGAGTCTCCCGCTTGTATTCCTTAGTTTGATAATTAACGTTGTCTGCTGTGTCATTGTCCGGACCTCCCTTATTCATCTCCTTCCGCTCATCCTTCCCTCGTCCGGACTTCCCCTCTGACAACAAGTCTTGGTCTTGTGTTCGGACGCCTCTCATATCCTTGTCCGAACTCGTCCGGCTCCTTATAGCGTTGGCTGACCTTTCGCTCGGCTTGTTCCCACGCCCTCGGCCAAGCCTCCTTTGCTCACCTGGACCTGCTCGACTTTGCGAGCCTTGACCTCGACCCTTGCTCATCCCTTGGCCGAAATTTCGGGCAAGCCTCCTCGTACTTTGTTCCACCTTGCCCAGCTCGCCCGGCTTCCTTCGATTCGCCCGGACCTTCGTCCGGCCCGATCACGTGACCTCCTTCGTCCGGCCTTGCTCTGGCCCGGCCAAGTTCCGCCTTGGTCTTATTGCGAATCGGTTCCCACCAGCCTGCGGGTTCTCGCCGCCCTTGTTGTCTTCCCTCCTTGTGTTCCTCTCGTGTAGGCTGACAGTCCCCACTCATCCTTAACCTACCTGTAGTGTAGTGGTTTTGATATCCGTAGTTCTGGGTTCGACCTAGCCCGAATTCTACTTCGGCATCTCATCTGTTCCTCCCTTGCGTCTCGGACCGGAACCTACCTCCTCTCTCCCTCTTCCTTCTTCTTTCCGGCACGGATATAACACTGATTTAATGCGGTAGCAGACGAGATCTTGTCAAGATATGCTAGCAGATCTTCGCATTTGGCGAACTGCTTCTTTCCAGACGCTATGTCAGCCTCCTCGGCTGTCGCCGGCGTTTTACGATCCTTTAAAATTTCATAAAAGCAAAACATATTGGGTGCAACACCCTTGAGGTGCCCCGTTAAACTTGACGGGAAGATATTCGATGAGATAGA